TATATAAATATGAATATATATTCACTGAAGTCTCATTCTAAGACAGCGGTATATATATATATATATAATAAGTATTCACGGAAGTCTCATATTCAGACAGTGGTATATGCTCGCGTGTAGATGCATGTAACGCCTTACTTGCGAGACGATCCGGTATGTTCACAGAATCTCAACGTCGTTCTTTCGGTTTCCTCACAGCCGCCTGGACGCACTGCAGCTTGAGCTTCCCTCTGCGTACGAGATGGACGAGTCCGAGATGCAACTCAGACAGCTGCATGCGGAGATAATAAAGGTTTGTGGATAACATTCATGAGTGCATGCGGAGACAATAGAGGTTTGTGGATAACATTCATGTGTGCATGCGGAGATAATAAAGGTTTGTGGATAACATCCATGTGTGCTTGCGGAGATAATAAAGGTTTGTGGATAACATCCATGTGTAATGGTTATCTGGAGTCGCGTTGTCATATGTTATATGTGCATGCAATATGCTGATGCAACTCAAACAGCTGCATGCGGAGATAATAAAGGTTTGTGGTTAACATGCATGTGTGATGGTCATTTGAAGCCGCGTTGTCGGATGTTATATGTGCATGCAATATGTTGATGCAATTCTTGGAAAGTAGTACTTTCATGGTATCGGCCTCGTTCTAAATAGCGGGTATTGCCACGGATGTCGGCTTGTGAGGTGATGGGTTGGTGACCGTACAGATTTGTTCCGTCTGCATTTTCACGCGCTTCGTCTCGCTTTGCCTAGAATAATCCAAATATCTCATTATCTCTGAGTGTGTGTCTGTCTGTTTTAGCCGGCTTTTTCGCCAAGTGGTTTATATAAACACTTCTCACAGAGTCGCATGTGAGCTTTGACATCATTGGTAGTTTGGAGTGTACCAGTGTGTGCCGGTGCAATCGGTTGGAGTATCGTTGACGATCTGCTTGCGCATGGCGACCACAAGGCCGAGATTAGTCCAGAGGATGGACTCGAATACGTCAACAATATTCGGGGTCTGTGTGTTGTTGTTGTTGTTGCGATTGTTGGTGGGTTCCATAAGCCCATCTGTCTATAGTGTGACTTACTTGGGTGTTGTTGTTGTTGCGATTGCTGGAGGGTTCCATAAGCTCATCTGTCTATGGTATGACTTACTTGGGTGTTGTCGTTGTTGTTGCGATTGCTGGAGGGTCCCATAAGCCCATCTGTCTATGGTATGACTTACTTGGGTGTTATTGTTGTTGTTGCGATTGCTGGAGGGTCCCATAAGCCCATCTGTCTATGGTATGACTTACTTGTCCACACGCCCAACCTTTACTGCCAACCAACACGCCACAGACGCGCAGGAAGCAACAGTTTCTCATCAACCACGAGGTCTCGCCGTACGTCTCCATCAACATGATACTGAAAGACGGCCACTCCTTCGGTGATGTAAGTAGACCGTTTTGAGCCTTAGTGGGGGACATACACACGCCTGTCAGTGTTCTGTGTCGCTGTAGTAAGTTGTGAATGTGCACTCGAGTGTGTATGGTTTGCACGAACAGAACCGTTCTGGAGAAGTTCTCAAGTGCTATGGTGAGATGAGGTAGACCGGACCATATGGTACAATTTACAAGCGTACACACATCGGAGAGCACAAGTAAACTTTGTGTGAAATACACGTTCATGCATATAGGTGTATATCGGCCCTCCTTATTTCCGGCCAGGTGCATTCGAATGATCTCAATGTATATCCACTGCCACAGGGCCGGGTGTTCAACGATACACTTGACCTGATCGAGTCACTCGATTACCCTAAACAACGACTCTCCTTCAACGTCCTGATATCAGACCTCGAGGTAAGTCGTGTTCCGCGCCGTACTACTGCCGTACAAACGAAATCACATTCTGTGATATGTATACAGCTCAGGTTTTGTATCTAGGCCGTTGTCGATGTCGTCTGTGTGTTGGCTATGTTGGTATATATGTAAGTCTACATTGTGTCCTGAGTGCATTCTCTGCTCTCCAAGGAGATATAGCTCGCATTCATCCACGCCTCGGCACAATCTGTATATGCAAGAAGCGTCTCATAGTGTCGTCGGATGGGTGCGTAGTACAACACCTCTCTGTTGACTTGAAGTTGGCGTGCTCGTGTGTATCTTGTGGGGGATAGGCTGGCTGTGTTTTGATTTCTCGCGATTCCCCTCAATGCCTACCGAGCGAGGTGGGCAGAGTAGTTGCCGTATCAGTGGAGCATTAGATCGCACGGAGATGCAATGCAAACGCAGAAACGCTTTCATATTCGAAACGCAACTATGTGCAGCAGGATCAAGGATGTGTCTACGCACAGATGAGCACAGCCCTATATCTTTCCATACGCTTCACACTAAGTACACAGTCTTATTATTTAAAAAGAACAAGTTGTCGGTGTCCAATCTGTTTGCAGATTCCTCCTACACTATGTGAGTGACCCATGTGTCTTGCTATCTCGATACCACAGGCACGTCTTGATATATCTGCAATGGATGCGCCTTCTGGTGTGTACTACCGACATTACAATTCTTTTCTGCCACCCCAATATCGCACATATATACTCCGGCAGACAGACAATGCAAGAACAATCCTGCGCATACGTCTACAGTCAGGGGTGGATATATGCTGTGTACATGCCGTCCATTTCGAGAAAATTAGTACTCACCACCGCAGTATCACCCACTAATACCCTGACAAACATGACAAAGTGCGGATGAGCAAACCATCACCGACATCCTGCACGTCAATCGTCTCCCCACCCCGAAACCGCACACAACCCCTCTTAAACCCTAAAACCCTATCATTCACACAAACTCTAAAACCCTATCATGCACGCATACACACACAGTTCTACGAGATGGCAGAAGCTACATGGCCGGCTATGCTCTCCGAACTACACAGCGTACACGTGACTCACTGCGACTACGGATGGACCACTGGCCGCAGTGACCGTGAACGGCACGGCGCGTTGGTGCAGAAGAAGCGGAGGTCTATGCTGGCCAAGTATAGGAACATACTGTATATGAGGACAAGGTGTGTGTGCGTGTGCGTGTGCTGATGTGCATGTGCGTGAGCAAGTGAGCG